AAGAAGTAGCTTAATAAGAAATAAAAAAAATAACTTACCTTAAACGAACCCAATGAATTAAACAGTATATTTGCACTCACCTGGAAAAGAAAGAGAACATCTGAAGTCTTTTATATATTAGGTTACAGGACACACCCACAGACACACAGACACACAGACACAGATATACATCTACTCTCGTGAGTGGTGGAAAGTTGTGTTCAGTTCACAGGCGAAATCTTATAAGGAATCTAAACTGTCTCTACGCAGGTTTTCCCAATTAAACTTTGAAAAGCAGTAGAAACGACACACTGTCGGATGGAAGAGATGATAAACTAATTCTTGACACAGTTTCCTACCATTAAAGCTTTGTTCAACTTCCATTCGGTGACTTAGAATTCATAGCGGTCAGATACAGAAATTACTTTTACAAACACCTAACTATTTATAACACAAGTTTATATATATATATATATATATATATATATATATATATATATATATATATATATGTGTGTGTGTGTGTGTGTGTGTGTGTGTGTGTAAAATTTCAGAGAGTCTATTTCTGTGAAAGGACAATGCGAATAAAAGACAGAAGAATTTTTTCTTGCCGATTCGTTTATTAAGGCAAAAAATAAAATCCGTCAGAGGACGAAACGTATCGGTTAAGATAAGTTTTCATATATATATATATATATATATGTGTGTGTGTGTGTGTGTGTGTGTATGTGTGTGTGTGTGTATGCCTATATATATATATATATATATATATATATATATTTTAAATAAAAACAGACCACTTTAAGGTTCCATGTAATAAATTATTTCACCACAGAAATGTGTCAATGTCTGCTAACTCACTCATGTCTTCTCTCTCCTCCCTCATTTCGTTAATTTACATATGCTTAATACAACCCGTCAAAAATGTGTAAATTTTCTTTTCATTTTTTGTTTGGAAGTAAAGTCTGATGATCCGCAGGCTTTTAAAAGGGCTGTGGTGAAATAATTTATTACATGGAACCTTAAAGTGGTCTGTTTTATTTAAATTTTTGCTCTGAATTTACATTGAGCTCTCTGGATTTTATCCTCCTTAGGTTTACCCATACGGATTGCCTAGTTTTTCATAGACTAAATATATATATATATATATATATATATATATATATATATATATATATTGACGTTAAGATTAATTTCGTCAAGGAAGCGACATAGTTTTTCTAGCCTGGGACAGCAGTAGATACGCTAATTTCATATCTCGTCTAAGATGCGATCCCCTAAAATTAGTTTAAAAATTAGGTCTTCAAACGTCGCATGATACGCGAGTACTCACACACACATACACACACACACACACACACACACACACACACATATATATATATATATATATATATATATATGTATATTCGGTGCTATGAGTTGTTTCAGGCATTCCCTGGGTGGGGCAGGAACATGTCCCTCCCAGGATGGGCTTCTGTAAACTGAAAAGGAAAATAAACGGATAAAAGTAGAAAAGTAAGTAAGAAGATATGAAAACAAAAGGAATGAGAGAAGAAATTGAATTTGAAAACAAAATAATAGACTCCGGAAAACGCTATGAAAGAAAAAAAATCCGATTAAAGAAATGAACGAGAGAAAAAGATGGCGGAGAATGATTAAAGAGAGAATAATTAAAAAGAAGCAAGGAAATTAGTTTTAAGGTAAAAAAAGGGGAACATTGGAAGAAGAGAAGCAAATGAAGGAAGAAAACAAAAGAATCAAAAGAAGACAGAAAGAAACAATCAAGAGTATAAGAGAATGAAAAGAAATCTAGAAAGAAAGAAAGAAAAAGGAAAAGAAAAATGCAGGATGTAAGGAAAAAAAGAGAAAGAAACAAAGACGTAAAAAATGACTAAAGGGAGAAGAAAGAAAGAAAAGGAAAAAAACTTGATTTGAGGTAAAAAGAAAAAGAGAAACTGAATGAAGAAAGAAAACTAAAAGAAAGAAAAAGAAGATAGTATGAAATAAATAAATAAAAATATAAAATAATGAAAAGGGGGGTAGAAAGAAAGAAAGAAAGAAAGAAAGAAAGAAAGAAAGAAAGAAAGAAAGTAAAAAGTGCGGGATATAAGAAAAACGAGAAAGAAAGGCCGAAAGAATGAATGAATGAAAGAAGGGAAACAAAAAGTCTGAACATAAGAAAGAAAACATAAACTAAAAGAAAGAAAACTTTTTACAGTTTTTGCAGGTTATTTAAAGTCAGAAAATATTTTAGATTGTATGACATTTTTGTTTTTTTTCTATTCTGAGATAATAATGATTTAACGATACAAATCTTATTAGTTAACCCATAGATGAGAAGTAGAAGGGGTGGATTCGTTCCTTTCCCAATGGTATAAATGCGTAAGTGAATACAATAAACCCAACTAGAATTGAAACTGGCCTCTCCAATTAGGTATTTCGAACCATTATCCGGTGTTTCAACGTGATATGGCGGCAACCCAAGAAAAATATAAGTATATAAAAACAAAGAAAGAAAAAGAAAAAAATGTGTGAAATAAAAGAAAGAAAGAAAGAAAGAAAGAAAGAAAGAAAGAAAGAAAAGTATAATTGAATCAAAAGGAAGGCAGGTGGATGTACGAAAAGAAAGAAAGGATGTACGAAAAGAATGAAAGAAAGAAAAGTATAATTGAATCAAAAGGAAGGCAGGTGGATGTACGAAAAGAAAGAAAGGATGTACGAAAAGAAAGAAAGGATGTACGAAAAGAAAGAAAGAAAGAAAGAAAGAAAGAGAAAAGAAAAAGAAAGAAAGAAAAGAAAAGTATAATTGAATCAAAAAGGAAGGCAGGTGGATGTACGAAAAGAAAGAAAGGATGTACGAAAAGAAAGAAAGAAAGAAAGAAAGAAAGAAAGAAAGAAAGAAAAGTATAATTGAATCAAAAGGAAGGCAGGTGGATGTACGAAAAGAAAGAAAGGATGTACGAAAAGAAAGAAAGAAAGAAAGAAAGAAAGAAAGAAAGAAAGAAAAGTATAATTGAATCAAAAGGAAGGCAGGTGGATGTCCGAAAAGAAAGAAAGGATGTACGAAAGAAAGAAAAAAAGAAAGAAAAAGAAAGAAAGAAAAAGAAAAAAAGTATAATTGAATCAAAAGGAAGGCAGGTGGATGTCCGAAAAGAAAGAAAGGATGTACGAAAAGAAAGAAAGAAAGAAAGAAAGAAAGAAAGAAAGAAAGAAAGAAAAGTATAATTGAATCAAAAGGAAGGCAGGTGGATGTCCGAAAAGAAAGAAAGGATGTACGAAAAGAAAGAAAGAAAGAAAGAAAGAAAAGTATAATTGAATCAAAAAAAGGAAGGCAGGTGGATGTCCGAAAAGAAAGAAAATGTACGAAAGAAAGGAAGAAAAAAAAAAGAAAGAAAGGAAAGAAAGAAAAGTATAATTGAAAAAAGGAAGGCAATGTACGAAAAGAAAGAAAGGAAAAAAGAAAAAAAAAGAAAAAAGAAAGAAAGAAAGAAAGAAAAGAAAAGTATAATTGAATCAAAAAGGAAGGCAGGTGGATGTCCGAAAAGAAAGAAAGGATGTACGAAAAAAAAGAAAGAAAGAAAGAAAGAAAAGAAATTGAAAAAAGGAAAAGCAGGTGATGTACGAAAAAGAAAGAAAGGCAAAGAAAGAAAAGAAAGAAAGAAAAAAAGAATCAAAAAGGAAAAGGCAAAGGATGTAAAAAAGAAAGAAAGGATGTAAGAAAAGAAAGAAAGAAAGAAAAAGTATAATTGAATCAAAAGGAAGGCAGGTGGATGTACGAAAAGAAAGAAAGGATGTAAGAAAAGAAAGGATGTACGAAAAGAAAGAAAGAAAGAAAAAAGAAAGAAATAAAAAAAAAAAGAAAGAAAAGAAAAGAAAAGTATAATTGAATCAAAAGGAAGGCAGGTGGATGTACGAAAAGAAAGAAAGGAACGAAAGAAAGAAAGAAAGAAAGAAAAGAAAGAAAGAAAGAAAGAAAAGAAAAGTATAATTGAATCAAAAGGAAGGCAGGTGGATGTACGAAAAGAAAGAAAAGGATGAAAAAGAAAGAAAAAAAGAAAGAAAAAGAAAGAAAGAAAAAAGAAAGTATAATTGAATCAAAAGGAAGGCATGTGGATGTACAAAAAAAAAAGAAAAGAAAGAAAAAAAAGAAAGAAAAAAGAAAGTAAAGTAAATTGAATCAAAAGGAAGGCATGCGGATGTAAAAAGAAAGAAAGAAAGAAGAAAGAAAAAGAAAGAAAGAAAAAGAAAAGTATAATTGAATCAAAAGGAAAGCAAGAAAAAAGAAAGAAAAGAAAAGAAAGAAAAAAGAAAAGTATAATTGAATCAAAAAAAGGCATGGATGGATGTAAAAAAAAAAAAGAAAGAAAAAAGAAAAGAAATTGAAAAAAGAATGCGGATGTAAAGGAAAAAGAAAGAAAAAAAGAAAAAAGAAAGAAATTGAAAAAAAGAAAAGAAAAGCAGGTGGATGTTCAATCGAAAAAAAAGAAAGGAAAGAAAAGAAAGAAAGAAAGAAAGAAAGAAAAAAGAAAGAAAAGTATAATTGAATCAAAAGGAAGGCAGGTGGATGTAAAGAAAAGAAAGAAAGAAAAGAAAGAAAAGAAAGAAAGAAAGAAAGAAAGAAAAGTATAATTGAATCAAAAGGTAGGCATGCGGATGTAAAGGAAGAAAAAGAAAGAAAGAAAGAAAGAAAGAAAGAAAGAAAGAAAGAAAAGTATAATTGAATCAAAAGGAAGGCAGGTGGATGTACGAAAAAAGAAAAGAAAGAAAGAAAGAAAGAAAGAAAGAAAGAAAGAAAGAAAGAAAAGTATAATTGAATCAAAAGGAAGGCAGGTGGATGTACGAAAAGAAAGAAAGAAAGAAAGAAAGAAAGAAAGAAAGAAAAGTAAATTGAAAAAAGGAAGGCAAACGAAAAGAAAGAAAGAAAGAAAGAAAGAAAGAAAAGTATAATTGAATCAAAAGGAAGGCAGGTGGATGTACGAAAAGAAAGAAAGAAAGAAAGAAAGAAAAGTATAATTGAATCAAAAGGAAGGCAGGTGGATGTACGAAAAGAAAGAAAGAAAAGAAAGAAAGAAAGAAAGAAAGAAAGAAAGAAAGAAAGAAAAGTATAATTGAATCAAAAGGAAGGCAGGTGGATGTACGAAAAGAAAGAAAGAAAGAAAGAAAGAAAGAAAGAAAGAAATAAATAAATAGTGTTTATGATAAAGCAAGGATATATAAAGTAGAGTACATGAAAGCTTTTATCTAAACGCAGATGACTGAGAAGTCTTTGTCAGCAACATGCCATACCTTCTTGTAGGACGCAGGTGTGCAGACATATCAACACCATAGTGTTCAGATGACTGGCTTGTTCCGTGATGGAATTCACTTCACTTCACCAAGGCTTCTACTTTCTCTTCATTATTTGTTGTACGCGTGTGAAAGTTTTTTTTTTTCTCCCCGCTTTCATTTTTCCCTCCTTTGGTTTTGTCGTTGTTTCTATTTGTACAGAAAGCTTCATATCTCTTCGAAATGGTTATTTGCGTCTGCTTCCGGTGCCTGTGTCAGCGTTCCTATTGCGACCTTGAACTATATATTAGACAAATCTAGCCAGGCTTTCAAAGGAAACTGCAGGAACTCTTACAGAGGGTAGTAAAAGAAAGCAGGAGCAAAGGACTAACCATCAAGACATAACGCATGGTTGTCTGAATGAGGAACAGTCCAAGATGCCAGCTACGAAGCTAAGATGCTGAAATCAAGCAAACACGAAAGTTTAAATATCTGGGAAGGGTCCTAACAGAGTATGGAAAATGTGACACCGAAATCTGAAGGCGCATTGGGATAAAGAATTATGCCTTCCAGAATCTAAGCAAAGTATTAGGATATAGGAAAATTTCGTTAGAAACAAAAAAAATGAATACCAAAATGTCAGGTAATATAAGTCCTCCTCTATAGCAGTAAATGTTGGACAATTTCTTCATAGATGAAGAGACTTGAATCAATAGAAATGTCATTCTGCAGAAGGATTTCAAGAATCCTATCGACTGAACATTGAATAACGAGAATGTTTGAAGGAAAATTGAAAAGAAAAGAGCTTACACTTAGAAACAGAAAGAGACAGGTGAAGTTTCTAGGACGCATAAAGAGGAAAGAGGGTTTGGTAAATCTGACACTCATAGGACATATTGAAAGCAAGAGGAAACAGTGAGTAACCCACGTAAAGAGATTGCGAAAATGGCTGTAGCACAAGGTTTGTAAGAGAAAAGACAATCCTTAATAAGGCCTGCAAAGAATAGGTAGTTGTGGAGAGCTAGAACCCACGTTCTTAAGTAGCCATGTCGTATATATACACAAAAAAAAACTTTTAAATATTGCGTCAAATTATACTTATTTTCTAAGCATAGCTTAGATGTGGTATATGGCTGGAAGTATGGGTCATCTAGCGAGGATCGAACTCACTTTTTAGTCGTAAACTAATCTAGCGAGACAAGTTTGCTAACCATTACACCACGCCGATGAACGATAATGCGTCAAATTATATCAGAAATAAGTTTAGAAATTTGTAAATTTACTAGCCACTTAAATACACGTGAACAATTGTTCTTTTATGCAAATTTTTAATCAGCCAATCAGAGATTTGATAGCGATAGCCATTTAATCACAGTGCCCTGCTGATTTGCATTTCAGTCCTGAGTATCGGAAAGAAAAGTAAATTAATTCATTTTCAATGTGGCATTAGTTCCAAATACGAAGGTCATTCAGTAAATAAGGTTAATTTTTCGGTATAAGGACTTCTAATACAGGTAGAAGCTTACTTTTTTTTTATTTTTTTGTTTTACTTCTTTTTCACATGAATTTAATTTCTTTTGCAGATTAAAAAAAAACTTTGAGAGTTTTGGCGATTAACAAAGATGGCCGACCAAGAAGCATGCTCCAGGATTGAACAGCGGTCAGTTATCAAGTTTTTAGTTGCTGAAGGGTGCAAACCAATTGAAATTCATAGGAGAATGTCAACTGTGTATGGCGTCACATGTTTCAGCCAAAAAATGTCTACAAGTGGGCTAAATTGTTTAAAGAAGAACGGAGCTGTGTTGAGAATGAAGACAGGCCTGGAGGGCCTACAGAAATGAGGTCTCCTGAGGTGATCGAATCAGTCAATGACCTCATTCAGTCTGACAGAAGAACTACTGTGAACTGCTGAGGCAAGTCAAGAAAGACATAAAGAACAAACGCAGGGGTCATCAGTCAGAAGGAGTCATCTTGCATCATGACAACACAAGGCCTCACACAGCAGCCCAAACGGTGCAGACCATCAACGAGCTGGGCTGGGAACTGCTCCCTCATCCCCCCTTACAGCCCAGACCTTGCCCCTTCAGACTTTCACCTGTTTGGTCCCTTGAAAGCCTTCACGAGAGGTACGAAGTTTAAAAGTGACGATGAAGTCAGAAGTGTTGTGAGCGACTGGCTGAGACATCAGTCCAAAGATTTTTACGCTGAGGGAATACGGAAGCTTGTGCACAGATGGGAAAAGTGTGTGACAATGCTGGGAGACTACGTTGAAAAATAAAAAAAGTAAGCTTCTGTCTGTATTAGAAGTCTTTATACCAAAAAATTCACCTTATTTATTGAATGACCTTCGTAATTAAAACGTATACTGACAATTATTATCACTGAAATGAAATACTAAAATCCTAATTTTTACCCGTTTTAAACACGGTCACTTGAGCCACTGGTAAATCTCACTTATGAAAGAAACCTATGTGTTTAACCTTTTGAGCCCGGAGTTCCCGAACAATTTTAACCCTTGTGCCTGAGCTCCTGAGTCAAAATTGGCAAATAATTGGTATGTAATGTTACACGGGAGATGGAAAAATTGTTACAAGTGTTTACCCACCGTTCAACCGGTAGCTGGACATTAAGTCATTTTTCTCTACCACCATTCAACCGGTAGTTGGGAATTAAGTGATTTTTCTCTAAAACCGGTGGCTGGGCATTACGTCATTTTCCTCTACCACCTTTCAACCGGTGGCTGGGCATTACGTCATTTTACTCTACCACCTTTCAACCGGTGGCTGGGCATTACGTTATTTTACTCTACCACCTTTCAACCGGTGGATGGGCATTACGTCATTTTTCTCTACCACCTTTCAACCGGTGGATGGGCATTAGGTCATTTTACTCTACCACCTTTCAACCGGTGGATGGGCATTACGTCATTTTTCTCTACCACCTGTAAATCGGTGGACAGGGCTCAAAGGATTAAAGGTAAACACACACGCACACCAGCTTTTGTGTGTTTGTTTGTGTGTGTGTGTGTGTGTGTGTGTGTCTGTGTATGTGTGTGTGTTGGAGAACAGTCAGTTAAAAGCAACGTAATAATTATTGCTCCTGATATTAACGGTATTGATGTTCTTTTACACTGAATTCTTTCATCCAGTTTGTCTTTAATAAGATTTTTCGAAGAGTCAGGGCGGTAGAGGAAAATAGATATAATGTTTAAAATAAACGGGACGTCTGCTCAAATATGGGTATCCACTAAAAATAACGTTTAAAGTGATAAAAATCTGTCAGATTAATAAATTAAAAAAAAAAAAATTCTTCTTTAAAAATTGCTTTGTTTACGTTTTGCTTACGAAACTGAGGAGATATGAACTTTCGAGAATCTGGAACTAAAAGGATTTGTGTTTAAAGGCAGTTTTGCTTGATCGGCGAAGCCGGGTCAGTTAAAATCACATCGGATGTAACGACGGTTTCTCCTGGAATAGAGAATGCAGGATCGATTCCTATTGGAGAGTGTATATTCTTCTTTAATGAATAAAGAAATAAAATCATGAATATTCTGGCCGTTAGACAAAAATAATTATACTGTTTAAAATAAACAGAGCGTCAGCTCAAATATGGGTATCCGCTAAAAAGAACTTTTAAAGTGATAAAAATCCAATTTAAGCGGGAAAGAAGTAACAAAGTAATTTAAAGAATAATACCTATTAAACTTAGTGTGACACAAGGCTACAGAAATAGGAGTACCCAATGAAAATTGAATTCGCGATACTAGTTATAGTCTAATAACAGCACAATGATAGGCACGGCTTTTCATAGACTGGCACAAGGGCAGCACAAAATGTGTACTGAGCTCATTATACTAACCTTAACCTACATGGTCAGTACATAGATGGGCAACCGCTTTGGAATACCGCGTGCAGAGACCTTGGATGTGTGGGTGGTGTAATCGATAATGGCTTGGAATTGTTAATCGGTGATCCGAGTTCATATTTCAGGTGGGTTCGTTATATTCCCGTGACCCATTAGGGTCGTAGGGGCAGTACCACTTGGGCGGGATAGCTTGACGAAGCCCCAACCCTCTTCAGGCCGGTTTGAATTCAAAGTTTTCCTTCTCCTAGACCAGTTGCTACCCAAGGCTATCTGTCTGGTCTGTGGATCCGACTGGAATTCGATCTCGGCTCCCCGATTCCTCAATCCAAACTGCAATTCATTACTGCACCGTGCTTCCTATTCGCTATATTTACTTACGGGTGAATACTATTGGGAAAGGCATGAATCCACCTCTTCTATCCCTAGCTATGGGTTAATTAGGAAAACTTGTATCAGTAAACCATTATTTAAAAAAAGAAGAAATCTTACAATCTAAAAATATTTTCTGGTTTTAAATAAACAGCAAAGGGTTGATAATCCGTAAAAAATGAATAAATGAATCAGTCAATCAATCATTATACTCACCTTTTTCTGCGAAAGAGACTTTCGATATATCGCTCTAGAGTAGACGCCCTCGCCTAATATACAGATATCCCACTGCAACTGATCTAATTAAACTAATTTAATGCAAAGAGGGCAGATGACCCGACATGATATCGAAAGAAAGACGAGTCTTTGATTATAAAATATTGACTTGCTGTGTTTGAAATTAGTATTTATTGATTGCAAATATACGTGCTTTTTGTAATATCTTCCTATTGGGTGCCTTGGCCTAAAACAAGCTAATCACATCGACGACAAAGGTGAGTTCAGTATTAAATAGAGGAAAAAATAATATATAATAATGTGAAGTAGCAACGATACCTGGAATTGCACAGGGCAGATACCTTTCTTTTGTTCCATAGCACTACGAGTTCTTTCTTTTTGTCAGAGAGAGAGAGAGAGAGAGAGAGAGAGAGAGAGAGAGAGAGAGAGAGAAAGAGAATTCTTTTTGTGAGTGAGTTGGTGAGCTTCTTTGTGAGTGAGAGAGAGAGATGTTTTTTTTTTCCTTTTGTAAGTAAGTGAGTGAGTGAGAGGTTGTGAGAGATTTCTCTTTTTGATTGAGTGAGTGAGAGAGTTCTTTCTTTTTGCGAGTGAGAGAAATTTCTTTTGGTGAGTGAGAGAGTTCTTTCTTTTTGTGAGTGAGTGAGCGAGTGTGTGTGTGTGTGTGTGTGTGAGAGAGAGAGAGAGAGAGAGAGAGAGAGAGGCAGTTCTTTTGTGAGTGAGCGGGTGAGTGAGTGAGAGAGAGAGAATCTTTTTGACTAGAACAATCTACCCCGGAGGACGAAATAAAGGGTTTGGTTCGAAATTCCAATCACCTGAAGAAGGCCGGAGCGTACAACGGCTGTTGTGAATATGGCAATGAAGATGAGGACAACAATCCGAATTATGCAAGTAATCATAATACCTCATCTCAGAGATATAGAGAGATATTGCAAGAGATAACATACATTTTATGATATCATTGATATATCACTTATTTTGCCGTAGTAGAGGATCTTGGCAGAAAAAATGTTTTTTTGCTACCCTAAATGTTATAAATATATTCCAAGCTTATGCAGAAATCTCCAGTTTAATTATAAACTCCATTAAGGAAATACTTACATCGAGATTAAAAAAAGACCACATTTGAACAAAACAGTTCTTCTTACACATTGATTTTATGACGAATAAATAAATTGGTTGTCTCAATTAAGATTAAACGTTGCCTTTTTACAATATCTCTTAAAACTTGTTCCGTCATCCATTTACGTTCATTAGACTTTAGTAAGCTTGTTATAGGGAATTCTGCGTTCGAATTATGAGCGCTTAGGTGGACGCGAACATTGATAGTGAGATCTTGAAACACAACATATGTGCTTTCTTCTTCTTCATCATCATCTTCTTCTTCATCATCTTCTTTTTCTTCTTCTTCTTCTACTATGCCCTGTGTCCCTTCAGGACGTTGGCGATCAGGGCTCTCCACAATTTCCTGTCCTTTGTAGCTCTTAATAAATGTTGTCTTTTTGTTATCTCTCTTAAACTCTGTCCGCTATTCATTTACTCAAATTCGTTAGTTACGTTGTTTCCTTCACTCTGCCCTGTGAGTATCAAATTCTCTACACCTTCTTTCCTTAGTATATGCCCTAGAAATTTCGACTGTCGCTTTTTCTTTTTAAATGGAAAAATATATTTATTTGAACAAATTACCTAAAAGCACAAAATTATTATTATCATTTTGCCATCTTCTGTCGGTCGCAATGATAGAGAAAGCATTACCTCGCACCATTGCTAGTGAGACGCGCTTCAAGAGCCACTCTCTTAATCGAGACGCAATCCCGCCAATTCTCCGAAGGGACGCCATCGAACGAGAGCCACTGAACGAGGGCCAGAAGTCTCTACTGCCACAGGAGTAAAAATAAATCTGTCCGCAAGAGATTAATATTTGACTATTTTTTTTCATCTCCACGTGCTGAGCGACAGACCTCAGCTCAACGTCGGACCTGATCAAATTACCAGTCGAAACCGTATCGGTACAGGTAAGAATAAATGTCCTTTTTGTTTCTAAAACTTCGACGTTGCTCACATATTCTGCCCATTTCTGTATAACCACATTTCTGTTGCTTCAAGTCTCTTCATCTGTGAGGAGATTGTCAAGCATTCTCTGCCATACAGGAGAACTGATATCACGTAACAGTTCAGTACTCTTTTCTTTGTTTCTAACAATTTTTTTTGGTTTCTTAAGCAAAATCTAACGTGCTTTTGTAATTTTAGGTAATGGACTCATGGAACTCTATCTATAAAAGGCAGGATGTGTGTGTGTGTGTGTGTGTGTGTGTGTGTGTGTAACGAATGCACGGCCGCAATTTTCAACGGATTTGCACCAAAATTTACATGCACATGCTCCAAGTTAGTGGAAAGGCCACGACCGACTTTGCATTTCCCAACTCCCATCGATAGTGGAAATAATCGATTTTTTCGTGCTTCTACGGCAGTTTTCATGTAGTTTGCAGCCATTTTGTACTGACCAGAGTGAGAGCCTATAGCTGGCTGCCACAAATAGGCAGGAAGATTCTATTGGCCAGCGTGAGAGCCAACAGCTGACTGACACGAATCTTAACTAGCATGCTAGCATGCAAAAAAACAATCGATAGCTGTATTCGTTACAAGTGGGAAAAATTTAAATCTACATGGCACTTTACTCCAATTGGCTCATTCACTTGCTTAAACTCAACGTTGATTCTGATTCCGCAGAACTGGGTTGGGTGTGAAAAAGTATTTGACGTTAATATTCTTTTTTCATTCGGTTTTTCCAGTTACGAGTCCTTTTTTTAAAGCTGATCGTTTTGTGTTTTTTTTTTGTTTAGTTCTTTTTTGTAACAAATTTAATTTTAGTATAGAGCTTAGAAAAAATTCGCAGTGTGAGATAGGCAAGAAGTAAGGCATGTAGCAACATCAGCACGGCAAAGGGCACTCCTTTAAAAGCAAGGAAGGGCAAAAATATTTTTAAGTCAAGTGATAGCGATTGCCGTATGAGTCGTACGATTTTGAATCAAGCACGGGCAACGCCGGGCCATGCTGCTAGAGATAGGATAAAGAACAAACAGGAAACGATTATAAAACTAACGTTTCGCTTTTATTAAAGCATCGTCAGTGTTCTGAGGGAGAATATTTCCCTACAAGTTTGGACCCGGCCCTCGAACGAAAGACATAAGGACTCAAAGACGCTTTTGGACTCTACCATGAGGTAGACTGGGCAGCTCCCGCCAATGTATAAGAACAGCAATTCATTTTTGGCTTGATCTGTCTCTTTTAAAGGTAGAGAATAACAGGAGGAATCAAGTGCTTACTGCAGCGGTACAGAGAACAGACCATTTTATCTGCATCCTTAGCAATGGATCGTATGTACGAATTCCACTCGAGGTCAGGTGTGAGTTTCAGGCCCAACACTCTTTCAATGCGAGGTACCTCCATTCATCCAGGGTTTGAAATAATTTGTCAACTACAAGAACTCAGGGACGCTTTTTGACTCTATTAAGGCTGGAAAGTGAGGACTAGGCAGTTCCCACCCAAATATAACAACAGTACTCCATTTTAGGCATGATCTGGCTTTTATAAAGGGAAAGGATAGTACGAAGTGTCAGGTTATTACTGGAGCAGAACAGGGAATCATTAGTGTGTTCTAAGATTTCATGCAAATAAAAATGCAATAATAAATCCAATAATTATAAAACTGATGGCCTCAAATCCACTAGTAACTGTCAATACGCTAACCTGCATCTCTATTACCCGACGCCTCAGCGCTTTGATTTTACGAGAAATATAAAATGGAAGTAGTCTTTTGATGGTTAGTGACCTTTGCTTGCAAATTCAGTGTTGGGCAGTTGAGTAAACGTGAACACTGAAAACAAATTCTTGAAAAGCAACAGCTATGCTTTGTGAAAAAAAAAATCTGTAGTGCAGTGTTACCGGAAGTAGTATGCACTCAACTACAATGACCTCAATGATATATAAAGAATAGAACGAATAATTATCACATGGCTTAGGATACTAGCAGCTAAAGCTAGAACGAAAAAGCTACAGGATTTAAAATCAGTTAGAGGAGAAAACCAAATGACTGCTCTTTTGATGGCCACTGCTAGCTATGAGGCCATTATAAAATTATCAGCAATTACACACCTAGGGCAGTTGATTACATACTGCTTCCCGTGAATCAATAACACTACACTACAAAATCCATAACAAACACGCTGACTCGCTTGATAAGATGAATAGGAAAGAGAGAGTTTCTTTGTCTGCGCATGTGCAATTCAAAGTGAATAATAGCGTTAACGATTACAAAGACGAGCCAATAAAGATTACGCTTAAAGGAAACAGAAACAAGAATGAGAGGTGATATTATCGATTTGTATTAATTTGCTCACTGACAGCGGAAATGAAGAACGCAAAATATACACGCATTAAATGGCAAACAGAAGCAGTTAAGTCGGAGTTGGCCCAACGTTTAACAACACCGAAAATGGAATCAGTGAACCGAGTTCAAGTTCAGGCAGAAGTAATCTTCCGTTTTATTTGCGCATATGCCCCTGAGAAAGGCTGGAACACAAATCTTATAGGAAGCTAAATCATGCTGCTGGACCCAGTGCAACACAAACCAAAAACAAAAATTAAATTCTCTCAGGAAATTCTATGAAGAACCTGGCATAATAGCCCCGATGGTCTACAAGGCCATGGGGTGTCGTCTCCGTTTAAAGAGAGGAAAGCACATACGAAATAAACATTTTCCCGTGTACTTGTATATGTGAACGCGTTTGCAAAAGAGAAACGAAAACAGGTGCTTAAATCAATTGGCAAATATATACTGTTCCCTGTCAAGTTTGACAACAGGTGTAAAAGTTTTCACTTGGCTACCGTTTACCAGTCTTCGTTGATAAATATGGAGCATTATAAAGTACAGGCTCTCGAGAAAGCAGTTGAGTAACATGCTCCATAAGTTTTCTATGGGGTTGAGGTCAGGAGATTGGGGCGGCCATGTCATAACACTCACCTGCTTCTCATAAAAGTATTCCTTCATCAATTTTGATTTGTGACAGGGAGCATTATCCTGCATAAAAATGAGCTTGGTGGGGTCGATTTGCACCCTTTCAGCAGAAGGGAGCAGACAAGACTGTAAAATTCTCTTGTACTGCTCGCTCCTGAGGGTCTTTTCAATAGGTTTTAAGAAACCAGTTCCATGAAAAGAAAAGCATTCCCAGAACATTATACTGAACGGATGCTTGACAGTACTTACTGCTTAATTCAAAGAGCTTTCAATGCTTCTTCTTCGGATTTAAGATCGCTTATCCTTTGAATTTAGCTCAACTTTCGTTTAATCGAGAAGGGAACATTTAGTAAAAAAAAGTCAGATGAGCCACTTTTATCGAACAGCTCTGTATATGTATATATCGATCTGAAAAGATGCACATAGAGATATTCATGAAATAAATTATAACGGAAATGGATCTTTAAGGTTTTCTACTTGATTTATTATTATTATTATTATTATTATTATTATATATGTTTAATATTATGTTTTTACTTATTTACTTGTTTAATAATATAATTTTACTTATTTCCTTTTACAAGCAGCACGCAGGTTCGAACCCTACATATAGGCACATTTTCTTTCTTTATTAAGACTATCCACTGCACAGGCCAGTAGAAACTGTTACACTGCATAAAAAAGCCGATGTCTACTCAAACTCCTGTATTCACTAAATATAACCGTCAGAGATATAATGTCGAAATATAAATAAAAACCATTAATTCTTTGGAAATAATTGCGCCTAGCATGAAACAGCCTCTCAATGTAACTAATTTTGAAGCCATATATTGCACCTCTTACTTCCGCTCAGATTCGGACGGAAAATTTAACATATTAATATGAACAATACATGAAAATTAAGGTATATTTTCTCCGTTTTTTTTTT